GCTTTGGCGTCCTTCGCGCCATGCATGAGTGCGGCATTCGTGGACACATGGCCTTCTTTATCTCAAATTTTCTCCAGCGACGATGTTTTACCACCCGCATTGCCCATGTCGTCTCAGAACAGCGCATACAAGAAGAGGGTGTACCGCAGGGCTCTGTGTTGATGCGCAAGTGCGTGCATCATTGTTGGGCATTGGCCGAATCAGTCGTAAAGCACGTGCCTCAGTATCGATCATCAGACAACGGTCAGATATGTACTTTGGTTTTTCTAGCAAACATTCTGGCAACTTTTTTTCCTGGCATGCTGGAGTACATCCCAAAATGGGCCTCCGGTGCTCACGCCGCACCTTTCAGATCGCGGCGACCGCGACGGGACGCCGATGTAAGGTCGAGATGGCTGATGAAGATCCTCAAAAGACGCCAATGTAAGGTCGAGGTGGCTGATAAAAATTTTCAAAAGACGCCAATATCTCGAGCTAAAAGGCCATACTCTACAGACTGGTGCTGACAGCCTGACAGGTGACGATGACTACGCTACTATAGGATACCATATTTTAATAACATGAAAAAAAGTTTAACAAGGAGTGTTCCACACTCAGGAATCAGGATGATGTATGTTTTCGGTGAATTTTCCCGTGCATTTTCACTTTTTTTAAGCTATTGTTGTGCACAGTTGGCACAATGTAATGAAAATTGATTATCTTTGCGCACGTGTTTGCGCAATCCCGGCCATCTTTATTTTAGAAGAAATTTTCTCCAAAGTCATATGGCAACACTGAACACTGTCTATTTACATTTTGTATGTATAACAGCCGCAGTTTACGATTACCGTACGTTCCGTATCCGACAAGGCGGACAACCGGAAGAGTCAAAAGTAACCCGGACATGTCTTACATTTTATTATTGTCAGTTCGACTCGCGTAGTCAATATACTCGCGTATATTGTCGACTAAAATAGTAGAACTATTTTAGCTTTCTAAAGTACGGCGCACGGCGCATTTTTTTACCAACGTGGTATGGCGCACCGCGCAGGTTGTTAAAATGACAAAATAAATTCCCGCGCACCTGGCACATCTTCCTGACCATGGCGAGTGTTCAACTGTAAGCAAAAACATCATTTATTGAGCGAGAAATGTTTCCCTTTGCAATGCCCAGTGCATGTTTGTTACTTTGATGGAGCGCCTGCCAACTAATAAACAAATATGTTGGTCACTAAGCTAAGCTTCTCGAGTCTAGGGAATATCAGTAACACCGCCGAGTTACCTACTCAGTTGATTTCGTCACTATAGTTAAGGCATTAGGCACTACACCACTCTACATTTATTCTATTAGGCTATAGGGAAAAGACTAATTTACTACCACCTATCGGTATGTTTGGTGTGTACTTTAATATAGCAAAAAATTTATATACGTCCAGAATATCAATTGGAAAGTAGCCACTTTCGTTCCCTTGGATACAAAACGTCCGGAAAATACTTATTTACATATTTGGTGTGACCATTTCAGTAACAATGAAAAGGGTTTTAATTGGCTAGAATTCATACTACTAAAGCACATAAAGAAGACATGCCATTGTACATTTGTTTGTTTAGTTGTGGCTTGAAATGTGACTGTTGAGTACATAAAGGGCCTGAGGGATAATTGTGTGCGTTATAAAAATACTTGCAGTGTTGGGTATATTTTGTATATTTTTTTTCAAAAAACCCCCTTTTTCTTTCCCCTTTTCAAACGGCTTTCCCTTTCAAGCTCTTCTGATGAAACTTTTTTTTCAATTTCTCTACGTGGATAAAAAGTTAGAGTCACAGGTTAAGAGAGAACCATTTTTAACATGAATTTAGCATTATAGGTAGTTTATTTTCTAATTTATTCCTTGAAGTGTGACAAACAAATAAGTCTTCTATCATGCTCGTTTCCATTTGAATTAAAAATAAATGATGCACATTTTGAATGTACGTATGGCCTAAGCATTTGTATGTATTTTTAAATTTATGGCCTAAGCATTCGTAAACATTTTGAGCCTCTGAAACAAGCTGTGTGTAGAGCAGGCCTATCTACAAAATTTCATGTTGGTCTAAATATTTTCTAAATGCAAATTAACTCACATTTACCTTAAATTAAAAAAAGCTGAAATTTTTAAAAGATGTTTATCGTCGGAAATGGATTTTTGCCTAGAATCACACAACACTTGTCTTAAATTGCTCGTAAAAAAGGTGTATCATGTTAAGGATTTTTTGTTTCCTAAATTATATTAGTCGTAGCTATAAGGTGAACTTTTTAAGATATTCTGTATGAGCTTATATTTTATTGCAGGTGAATCGTTTTTGTTCACTGGTTGGTCAAAACATCTTAACAAGTGTTTCCAGAACTTTGTATGTTCGACTCTTTTTTTTCTTTATCATAGAATTTATCATTCCACAAAATATTTAAGTCCGCAGTTTAGTACCATGCTCTCGCCATACTCGTATATATTAAACTGTGACCGCAGCAAGAACGTTATGTCGAAGATGAAGATCTTACACTCGCCTCTCAGACTTTAGTAAAATTGTGTTATATTTTTATAATATCGTAAGGTAGGCATTAGCATGAACTAAAATACATGTGAATTAGGGAATAATGTTTAACTGCTGTTTCTAGGGCAAAATTTGAGCTTATTCGGGAATCGTGATTGCGCGCTGCGCGCGTGCCATCGCCGCCAAGAGTTCGCAAGTTCACGGTTCAAGAATGGCTTTCCACGGCTTGAAAAATAGGCTTACGGCTTGAAAATTTGTTAGTTCGCAGCTCAAATAATCCAGTCGCGGCTCACAGAGTCGATGTTTTCCTCCCCTGCCTCCTGTCACGACCTTTAAATCAGTCATACACTGTTACACCATACACCTGATACACGCAGCACATGCTGTCTAAAAACTTTTACTAGCATAAAAAAAAAAATAAATTTTCACACTTGTATGTTAACCAAAAAGTTCAATTAAACCATAGGTATTCACAGGATCACAGCAGTCCTAACTCCTACCTAAGAAAAAAAGACTTGACAATTTTGTTATGCCACATACCGAAAAATTAAAACAATGTGCTAAAACAATTTGGCACGGTCACATATCATCATATGTGACATGTCTTCCATTCCTCAATATTCAAGACCCCACTAGGCCACTCTTATCATCCTCCTCCTCACCTCCTGAGTCCTGACCTTCTCTAGGTGGCAGGCCTCCTCTCCCTCATTCTCCACAAGTTTTTCAAATATCTCTTCACCAGTTCAGTGGTTCACAGTTTCACACTCTCATACAATGATACATAGCCACAGTTGACAGTTGCTCCCTCAGAGGCTCAGACACACAGACAGACATGTAAACGTAATTATTGCCATCCACTCTTTGGCCTTTGCTTGTTCTCTCATGCCCCACTTTGTTAATCTCTCCTGAGTCACCTATCTCAATAATCTCATTAAGAACAAAATCACCTCCATCTGCCATCATAGTTCATAGACCCACGCTCTCTCTCATACAACGGTTACGACCCAGTCCATAGTGAGAAACCAGAGATTTTTTAGAATCAGTTCATTTTTAGTTTCCTCATTTACCAAAGATTTCAACCAATTTCTTATGTATGATAATACTGGTATCCATGATACTTTGCTGGTCTACTTATCACACTCAAAAATGAACTTGAGGGAGAGGCTAAAAAATTATCTGCTTTGCCACTATGCGACCCACATTCCATCAACATGTGCTCCATAGTTTCCTTCTCATCCCCATCACAGTGATCACACATAAAACATTTATCTTCCCTCCTTTCATTCCACCTGTATGTAAGTCCATTCACACCTGACACCTTCACCTAGTGGCTAGTGCCTCTGCCCTAACACAAAACAGAAGGTCCCCACCTCTACAACTATAATACATACATTCATATTTTGGCATTGCTTTCATCTGATTATTCTGATACAGTCTTAGAGTGTCCTTTCCCTCCATGATCATGATGAGCTGAAAATCAAATACTGAAATAGGTATATAATGCTGAGGCCGCAAGGCTTGTGGCTTGAGGCCTTCTTTTAAAGACTTCTTGCTGAAGGTCATGAAGTTGGAAAAACAAAAATTTATGATCAAAATATTCGTAAATTCTAATGAATTCTGATTGAAAGAATTTGTATAAAAATTAAAAGGCTTCCTAGGACATTCATGAAGTTTTGAAAGTAGCTACCATTATCAAGAGCAATAGAGCAAGCAGTATTGATTAATGATGCTAGTAAATCACCCAAGTTGTTGTATACTCACACAAGTTTGTTTCAGAGTCTGAGACTGGTAATTGCTTTCTGTATTTCCAATATTTGTCATGAATAGAGTCTTCCTTATACCTTAATTAATTTGGCGGTCATTTCTGCACGGCGGGGCTACTCGGGACACCCCCCCCAGGGCTATACGGGACACCCCCAAAAACGCATTTACAGTAGAACCTCAGTTAGCAAAGGCTCCAGTTAAGAAAAAAATTGCTTAAAAACAAAGAATATTGATTAAATTTACCTTGTTCAGCAAAAAAATTTCACTTATCGAAAAATTAGTGCATCATCGGTCATCGCAAAATTGTGCATAGAATGTCAAATATAGAATTGTGCACCAGGCATCATAGAATGAAAAGTAATTGGCCTAAACTATGATTTATTTCTCCGAAACATATGATGGTTGTCCCTAAAACATTCCTTTCTGTTTCAGGTATGTTTTCACAATCTTTTTTTATAGTAAATTCACTTAACCCAATTAAAATGGTGTGAAATTAGATTACAAACCGTCCTGTAAGCTTACAGATACAGAAAAAATGCTATAAGGCTACCGATATGAAGCTTGCAGTGGACAAGGTAGTTGAAATGCTCAATGGCCTGTTCATGGATACGGTAATATCACGTCAATAATACGGTAATTAATGTATATGGTAATATCATATCAATAAAGGAAAAACAAGTAAAAATCACAGAAAATGTAATTTATTCTACATCTACATCATCTACAATGAAAGAGGAGGACTTCAGAGTACGGTTAGTAATGGATGAGTATGCTCTGCATGCTTCAAATGTTTTGAAATGAAGTTTTATTCCCATTGTCCCAAGTAGCCCCGACCAACGGGGCTACTCGGGACAATCATTTTTTTGCGTCTGGCACCCTATGAATAGCATATGGACTTTTTTTGACAATGCCATTCAATAGCCCTCGCAAAGAGCTATAAAATGAGCCTAAACTTGTTTATGAAATGTTTCATGGTAAGAAGTTATGAATGAAAAACGTTCAAAATCGTCCCAAGTAGCCCCGGTTGACGGTATACCACAAAATAAATAAGTCCAGCCAGTGCTGTATGGGTTATGTTCAACTTCTTCCTAAACTTAAACAAGTGGCTTTTTTCAAGTCAGTTTCATTATCATAGAAACTTGTTATTTTATTTGTTAGGTCTGTAAATAATATGACACTGCAATTCAGTGCTGAACCTTGAATTATTTTATGATTGTGCTTTTCCAGGCAAAAAAATTTCAGGAAATGGAAAGGAAATATGATATTGTGATTCTTGGAGCCACTGGATTCACTGGACAGTTTGTTCTTGAAGAGGTATGAATTGTAATGATTTATTTCTATAGTTTCTTAGTGTTAGTTTGGAGAATAAATTCAATACCTTGCTGTAAAGAAATGTATTTGAGTCATCCTGCATGCCTGTTTTGAATTATTGAATGCCTTTAATGACATAGTCTTCTTATTTTGGTAAGTATTGAAGCCAGAAAATTTGTTGAGAAAAAACTTCTTCCATTATCCTCAGCTAAAAATAATAAAAATCAAAAAAAGTGTTGAAACCACTGTAAAGTGTTGAAACCACAGTAGCATTGTAGAAACCTGGCAGATATTTGCTGAAATGAGTGTTTGGTTTGGTCCTAAACCATCAATGTCTTAACTGCAATAATACCTAATACCTTTTTTGATCATTGTGCTCTTTCTCCATAAAGTATTATTATTATTTTATTATTCCAGGCACTTCGAAACATCACCGAGGGCAATAATGTGGGAACAAGGTTATGTGCTGCAGGTCGAGACATTACGCGGCTTAAAGCCACCATAGAATATGCCAAGAAGTGTGCAGAGTCCGAAATAGATGTTTCAACAGAAGTAGTGGATGTGAACAACATGGAGAGCCTCGAGGCTTTGACCAGCAAGACCAAAGTGCTGCTGTCCTGCGTGGGCCCTGTGAGTGTCAATCATATTGGCCAGACTTTAGTCTAGTATCAAAATATATTTTGTTGAGTTTTATTATTAAGTCACTAAAAAACTGCTCATCTATTGTTTGTTCATTTAAAAAGATTGTGTAGACCTTCAAATGCATGTTAAATAATCACTGTCTATGTCTGGGTGGTGTTGGATGGGGCATATGCAATTAGTTTGGGCAACGCATTTCAAATTTTTTTTACTAATATTAATTAGAAATTGTAAATATTATTTTTCATCCAAAACATGATCTGCCTGCCTTATTAATTTATAGCTCTATGGTAGCCACAGATATAAAACAGAAATGTTTCAGTGTTAGGTGTGAGACAAATCACGCCTGTTCCTAATCAAACAATTTAGTCTGTATGCTCAGAATTATTTAATATGTTTTATAACATACTTGTCTTTTGGCAGTATCTCATTTATGTGCGTGAAATAGCACTAGTCAGTTGTCAGCATCACAAGAGTTGTCAGCATCATACTTATTATTCACAGAAGACATCTTTTACTGCAGTATCGCTCATATGGACATGAAGTAGCACTTGCCAGCATCACAAGAAGTGCTTATGATTCACAACAGACATCTTTTACTGCAGTATCGCACATATGGACATCAAGTGGCGCTTGCCTGCATTAAAGGAGGTGCAGATTACCTCGACATCTGTGGGGAGCCAGAGTTCTTGGAGAGCGTCCAGGCCAAGTTTGATGTCGAGGCCAAAGCCAAAGGCCTTCACCTGGTGGGCAGCTGTGGGTTCGACTCAGTGCCTGCTGATGTGGGCACGCTGGAGCTGCACAAGCGCTTCAATGGTCAGCTCATACTTTAATATTGTCAGCCTTACTGCAATCAAATAGGTTGTTTTGAAAGAAAGCGTTTGAGGAATTTTGATGCAACACAATTAAAGTAACCTCTCATTATGTAAGGGGTGTGTATCAAGACCCCAATGCGAAAAACGAATTTCTTCAAAGTTTAAGAAATATCTTTTTACATTTATTTTATGGGTTTTTGCACTTCTTCCATGTACTATTAACACCCCACCCTTTGTACTGCAGTAGGTACCGGTAATTCTATACAGATTTTCGGCTCGAGCTAACCTTTATGACACGCACTTGGGTTTTGTGCACGTGACTGAGAGAAGACTCATCGCGTGGACGTGATCTTTATAGCATGCGTGTCGTGCGTGTGGCAGTAGACTGACGCGTGTCGTGCGTGTGGCTGTAGACTGACGCGTGTCGTGCGTGTGGCTGTAGACTGGCGCGTGTCGTGCGTGTGGCTGTAGACTGACGCTTGTCGTGCGTGTGGCTGTAGACTGGCGCGTGTGGCTGTAGACTGACGCGTGTCGTGCGTGTGGCAGTAGACTGACGCGTGTCGTGCGTGTGCAGGAAAGCTCGCCCACGTGGAGATGGTCGCCGCCCACCAGCACGTGGACGGCCTCAGTCCGCCCATCCACGCGACGACGCTAGAGTGCGCCGTCCTCGGCTACGCGAACAGGTCAGCTGCGTGCTATTGCTGGGTGCTAGGCCGCGCTAGATCTTCTCATTGGATCATTCATTCAATCCTCCTTTTTCAACAAAAATATGAAAAGAAAATTTTCAAAAACTTAACTTTATTACCTGTTTGATTCATTGAAATAACACGCACATAATTTTATCTGTGAACAACACGAAGTGGAAAGGTGTTGCGTATGTTCTTTATGGACGTGCTTTAGTGCATTCAGGTATGTTTTCCTTCAGACTTGTTGACATGAATGGCATTAAAATCGTATTCTTTGCACAAGTTATATTGTGCTGCCATTTTGTGGTTATCAGTTGACAACATTTAACACAGAGCTTCTATCAACCTGCTCTTGATGTGATAGAAGCATGACATGCGTGCAAGTCTATTCCCTCATTTTCAATTCTTCATAATTTCAATTTGATAATATATAGAGAGTTAATCAATACATTATTGCACATAAATACCTCATATGTCTGAAGAAATAATTTGAACATAAATCGATGTAACTTGGTAAGTGAAAACAGTAAATTTAAATTATTTTTAAATTTTGTAATATGTCTATGAGCTTCCCTGACGTCCCTACCTTGGGAATTCTATTCTCTTCTGACCACGATGGTTGAATCATTTCAATGATCTCAATTTATTTTGATAATTCGTATTTAGCAATGGAACTCACTAATAATTAATTATTGTTAATTTTTAAATGTTAACTTATATTATATGTGATGTGACTAATATTGTTATAAGTTTGATTTATCAAAATACTCGACATTTCATTCCCTTGTCACATCATTGACAATAATGTTAACATCAGGCACAAGCTGCGCGACAACAGGGCCGTCGTCATGCCCCCAGGGCTGCCGCTCCTGCCCTACAAGCCCGCCAAGAGGTCAGGGACCAACGCTTATCTAGCAACTTCTCATCCAAACTTTTTCGTTCTTACCTTTCTCTGCGCCAATATTTTTGTATCTATTACTTCTTCTCCGTGTTCATAAATTATTTAGGAAATGAAGGCTTGTCTTTTTGTTTTAAAGCAACTACAGTTACTTTTAAGTACAGTTACTAAGTATAGTTAAGTTCAGTTACTTTTGCTTTGATACAACTTGCTACAAAGTAGAGTTATTTTTGCATTGAAGCAATGCAAGGCGACAATTTGGGGCTCTGCTTTTACTAACACTATCGTGGAAGTAGTTTCCTGTCTTTCTTTAATAGGTTCGTAAGAAAATAAACAGTTTTCATTATTAAAGCCTTCTAAGTTATTTAATAAATGCATGCAAGATGGGAGTACAGGTGGCGACTTGGTACTGTTTTGTATGAGGATAAGTGCGCCGGGTGCGAATAGACTATGTAAAAGTGGAATAAGAGAAGGGAGGATGGGTGTATTTTATGTGTGATATAGGTAATATTATGATATGGGTGTATTATTATGTGATTTTTTATCCACCTAAAAGGTGGTGGAGTTGGAGGTGGACTGTTACGTGTATAGGAGATAACGACATTCTATGATGGTGATTATGAGTTAGGGATGTGAGAGTAATAGAGTGGAGTTGGAAAGAACAAGAAAGGAGTGGATTGCAATGATCTTGGGTTTGTCTGAGGGGAGCAACAGTGGCTGTGAATGAGAGCGTGAAGAGGTATTTGGAGAACCTGTGGCGTCTGAGGAGGGAAGGATGCCATGAGTGGAGAGGGAGAGACAAAATGCGGAAGGCTGAGTTGTCCATGCCGATTGTTGAAATATTTTTTTCATTGAACATATTTTAGTATGAAAGAATATAGTAGCGAATTCCTTGATGACAAAAATGTTTGTACCTGCCATGGGGTTGTACGAGCTTATACCTGCCATGTCTTACTACCAGCCCATACCTGCCATGTGGTAGTACGAGCTCATACCTGCCATGTGTTACAACTAGTTCACACCTCCAGCACATGACGGTCACGCCTCAAGTATTGCGGGCCAATCAGTCGAGGGTGCCGTTACTACCTCTCTGCTCTGTATTACAGACCGATGATGTGGTACCACGAACAAGACAAGCTGTGGTGCTTCAACAACCTGGGGTCTGATCGGTCTGTGGTGATGCGTTCCCAACATCTGCTGCGGCGCCTGCGTCAGGAGGACTACCAGCCTCTGCACTTCTCAGCTTTCTTCGGCATGCACACCATCGGAGAGGCGCTCAAGGCGCTCATGTTCGGCTTCATCTTCATGATCTTGTCTTGCTGCGCCCTGGGCAGGAACTTGCTTATCAAGGTAACTTGTGGGCGCCTGGCCAATATATTTCCTTCGTTCACATTCTTTGTTGCAGCTTGACAGCTGTTTTATTTGTTGTTGTTTGTACACTGATTTTTTTTTGTGGCTTTCTGTCGTTTTGTCTATTTTTATGTCTGGATCAGTTATAGATGATACTAACGATTTTTGTTTATTCCTTCCATGTTTCAACATAGAAATTATTTATCATTGTAGTTATGTATTTATTATTGCTGAAAATTATTCATTTTATTTATTTGATTATTGATTGTAATATCGAGCTGTCATTGATGATCCCTATCATTACAGGTTATGATGTGACACAATATATATACTGCGCATCATGGGTGTAATGGCAGAGAATTAAAAATGATAAAAATGGCAAGATTTAAACCTTTTTCATTTTAATTTTTGCATTTTAAACATATGGTGAATTTTTTCGGATTTTTGGGGGGTTTTTACATTCTTGGTAAATTTTTTATTGGAGAAATTAATTTTATGAATACTTGTATGCAAGTATATATATTATAATAACAAAATAGGCTAATGCTCGTGGGGCGTACAGCACTCGCGAAATACGAAATACTTGTATTCAAGTATAATATTTAGTCACCATATATGTTGGTACCAAGTACACTATTTTAACAACATATACTAATATCAAATATGTTAACTAAATGTGATGCTCGGGACGCGGTCAGTACCCGCGCGTGCTGACGCTGGGGCTGTTCTCGTGGCGCGGCCCTGAGCGGCGCGAGATCATACGGTAATGTACATAATGTACTTGGTATCACCATATGTTGATACCAAGTACCGTACATTATTTTAATAACATAACAACATATACTATTGTCAAATATGTTGTCAGTACCCGCGCGTGCTGACGTTGGGGCTGTTCTCGTGGCGCGGTCCTGAGCGGCGCGAGCTGCTGAGGCAGAGCTTCTGCGTGGCGCTCACAGGCCACGGCTGGACGACCAGCGACACCTGCACCCCTCCTGCACCTGTCTGCAGGCTCAGGGTGAGGCGTGTGGGAGGCAGACTCAGGGTGAGGCATGTGTGAGACAGACTCAGGGTGAGGCATGTGTGAGGCAGGCTCAGGGTGAGGCGTGTGTGAGGCAGACTCAGGGTGAGGCGTGTGGGAGGCAGACTGAGGCAGACTCAGGGTGAGGTGTGTGTGAGGCAGACTCAGGGTGAGGCGTGTGTGAGGCAGACTCAGTGTGATAGGCATGACACTGTCCAGATATGAAGCAACATGCCTCTTATCTATCATTTATAAGAGATACCTATATATTATTTATTTCTTGCCGTAATGTGCAGACAGGCAGGAGTTGTCGCTGAAGTAATTATTGTTGTGTCATATAAATAAACTTGGCTAGTTTAAAGTCTGCGAATAACTCCAATTCATAAAAACTTTTCAGTTTAATTTAAATTTTACTTCGAAGAAATATTTTGAATTAGATGAACTTTGGCATTATAGGTTACTAACTTCCAAAAAATAATAAAACTTGCCAACTTGAAGCACATTTACAAATAATATTGATAAAATGAAGCATGATGATAAAGCGGTGATTAAAAAATTACGCCCTCACTGTCAAAACTCGCTTAAGTAAACGTAATGGCCTAATAGTACACGCATAGGCAGATATCTTGTCTGTGATTGGTGGATTCAGCTGGAAACCTGTCAGTGATTGGCTGACGGAGTTACAAACTAGTAATTATTTATGATAGCGCGGCCCCTGATGTATTATTTTGTTCAGGTGCGAGGCCCTGACCCAGGCTACTTCGGCACGGCGATCATCGTGGTGCAGTGCGCCCTGACGATGCTGCGGGAGAAGACCTCCCTACCCCTCGGGTTAGAGACAACTCTCTTCTTGCGCTCCTTGAATCATTTTACACCTGTCCAAAATGGCACCAGGCGCGCTACTAAATGTCACATAAATTTTGGAGATTTTTATTCATAAATCTATAAGATAATCCTTTGCCTACTCACCTAAAAGTGTTAATAAGAACCAGCATTCATAATGATATGGCGTAGCCCGCTGATTTAAATTGGGTTCTAAAGATGAGTTTCATGTAATTGGTAATTGATTCTTTCACAAAATCCTAACTTTAATTTTTTATCCATCCATTTATATCTGTCTGCATTTACTAAATTGAATTTAGTAAATGCAGTTCATCTTACTTGCAATTTATTTACAGGGGCGGTGTGTTCACTCCAGCAGCTGCGTTCGCAAATACAAACCTGGTTCCCAATCTCACTTCTCGCGGTGTTACTTTCACTTACGACGACATCAAGAAAGACCTGCAATCCTAGATAAATATCTTCCGCATTTTAGTCAGCCATTTTTTCGTGATGCGATATTGCCATCTGCTATTTTTATCAAGCTTGGAAGGAACTTGGTAAAGTTCTAGTCGTCCAGGCTGACGAGTCATGCGCGTTACCTCAATGCAACTTGTTTTCTCTGTTGGGTGTTATTGCAAGATTTTACACTTGCAAGAGAAATGAATGTTTAGTTGACATGTTCTACTTGGGGAATTGGACAATGATTCATATTTTGTTCCTGAGTAATCACGATGAGCGTTCTTCTCTCAGTTTTACCGCGCTTACTACATGTTTTTGGTTGCGATGGCATTCCTGTGAAACCTTATGTTCTGATGCTGTGTGTTTGTTCTCACACTCAGTTAAGAAATAATGTGAAGCTGTTATTGAAAATGATCATTCTTACTGTTTCAATGTGGGGTTTGCTTGTTCGAGTTCATATCTTGATGTGGTGCATTGCGCTCATTTATCCATCACTTTCTCGACGTTCTTTTACACTCCAAATTAGTAAGAACCATGAGTTGAAACAAAGATGAAGTCCTCTTATATGATTGAATCATTTTGAAAATCTCTTCAGTTTAGCTAGCGATATTATCTAATTTCTAGAAGGTAAAACTTGGATTGTTTTTTGAGTTTTCGGTTTTGCTATGAACTTGGTTTGGCCGTGGCTTCGCCTCTATTCTATTTGCTAACCTCGCTGTTCATATGATACATCATAAATTATTGCTGTTAAAAAAATTTATTCGGACAATTTTTCATGGTTTAATGAAAACAAAACTCTAGCAAAGAACAAAGGTCTGATTATTAATTTTCGAGGCACAAAAAATCCTCCGAAACGCTGAAAATAATTAACTGCAGCATAGCTATATCCTACGATGTAAAGTAGATCCGGCTTGATATTAACGAATTTCTCGACCACACGTACAAGTCATTCCAGTTATTTCACGTGCAACGTTCAATGATAAATATATAATAGAAGGTTTCGGCTTCGTTGTCGATCATTACTGCTGTCTGGTGAGCAAATTTCAGTAACAATTACACAGAGTGAAACGCTAGTCAATGTTGAAGCATGTAAATCTTCGAGTCAAGATAAAAAGACGATTATATACGTAACAAAAATCCCGAGACTAGCGATGATGCGAATGTGATTCAAGTCGGGTCCCTTGCGCATGTTGAAATATTCGTATATTTGTTTACCTTATGAAATAACTGTTGATTGTTGAACTTCTAAATATATTCTTCATATATATCAGCCGAATTAATCCTCGCCTCAAACATTTCGAAATTGCTTTTCAGATGTCGCTTTCGTAATAGCAGACTTCTCATTATTCAATATTTGGATCTCATTTATCAAAATTCATTCGTCTGCCTATGATTCGCAATTCTGTGAAATTTCCTGGCCGTTTAATGCTGGGAACCAACTGTCCTCAATGAAGAGATCGATGGTCTCGTGTTCCATGTCCGCATCAAAGCTGCCACTGCTGCTTCCGTTCGCAGCTTCTCCGGCATCTACACGACTTGCCTCTTCCTCTGCACCAGAAGCCTCGGTTTGGACTTCAGAATTAGCCATTTGTGTAAGCATCTCATCACTGGGTTATGGATTTCCCTCCTGTGCTGAAGCCTTGATGTAACTTCCTTCTGTAACATCAGCAATGAGCGGGGCATCTGTCCACTCCGGGCTCAATGTAGTCACTCTGTCCTATTCTCCTTAATTGTATTCGGCGGTACCATCATCCACGAGCTTTGGACCCAGTGTAGCCAGAGTTAGTTTCAACGCATTGCATCTGGAGAAGAAAGTACTTTCATAGCGTTGCTGCTGAAACTAAATCATGGACTATCGCACCATTTGATTGTCCACAGCTCGCACATCTCGAGCCACCTAATCCGAATTAACGTCTATAGCCAACTGAGCGTCCAGATGCATCTACGAGAGGCTTGTTAGTAGAGTTCGAGAGACTTGTGACGACATGTCTTCAATCCAATCTATTTATTGGGCTATTTACGGACACGGTGCCGCTGGATAAACGACTTTCAGCGCACTGGCAAGTTCTTGCATGGCTTCCATGAGTTGTAGCTCATGATAGTACAAGATCGTCAAGCTCCGCAGTTGCAGGATCACATCGCTCCTCCAGTCTTGGATGTCGTTCAGAGCGCACGAAAGTCCTTCTTCGAGAAAGTCTTCTTGCAGCAGAGGAATGGGCGGGAACAGAAAGCTCAGAATAGGATTCAACTAAATTGATTTCCATCGCTTGTAGGAAAACCTCAAATTTCCACAGCTGCGGTCCATTTCGAGTATTTGAAATGATCCAATTCGTAGACAAATGCTTTGGTATCACTGTTCATTAGCATCACGATATCTATATTGTGCTGCTTAACGTATACAAGCTACCGAATTCTATCAATATGGTTCCAATGTAATGAGTGAAAAATTCTCGCGCGTTTATGCTTCGAATTGTTGAAAAGGATAAGGAGGGAATTATTGAAGGTAGTTATTAGACTTGAAAGGACGCGCATCTCAACATTCATTCTAGAAAAATGATCAGTCGACATCGCAGTGGCACCGCTAGTTCTCGTTTAACGAAGAGACGCCGCGCACTTGGCGAAGTTTCACCTAGATTGATTCGGCGCGCGCATGCTTACAGGGTAACATTTAATGGCCTATAACATCATAGAGCAGGAGCGAGTGAAGCTAACTCAAGGAATTTTTTGAAAGATAGAGCAAATCAGGATTTCACGATTAACTTAATTACGATGTTACAAAGTGAAACGAATTTTTTTTTTTTGCAATGCAAGATCAAAGTCAGAAGATTTTACTTTAAGACTGATAATCCATAATCCCAATAAAAATATTTAGTTTAGTTCGAAGCATGACTAGCATGTCCCAAAAATTTTCAGTATCGTCCATTCAACTAATTCAAATAATAATAATGATAAATTCACCTAATAATCGTAAGATTGGATTGTTCTCAGAAATCTTGCGCGAGTCACTCGTTTAAAAGTAAAAGATGCCCATGCGAGATAGCTGGCAGGTATTCCTACAGCTACCGTATAACTTAAAAAGGCTTCGTTTCAACATTAATTTGACATTAACCGTGTTTAGATAAGGGCAGCAAAAACAAAAAAGAACGAGTGGCCAGGTGCTCTTTTCATCAACTCTTCTTCTTTGGGCCAACTTTGGGTAGAGTTTCCTTCTTGGCAACGTTGGCGGCTTCCTTGGCTGCAAAGAAAAAAAAAATCTTGCATTATTTCATCTTGTTTAATTGTAGCGTCTCGATTTGTTCAACGTTAGGGTTTTCACTAGTTATATATTTTAAATATTAATTGATAAATATATAGTTCATTTTATAAATTTGCAAATGCAAACGGTAGGACTCGATCACTTAGTAAGCTTCACATTTTATTTGAACCTACCCATCCGTTGAAAAAATTCATAGCATTATTAGCGATCTCCATGTATCAAATTTGTGGGTTCTAACAGAAGTAAAATAATATCCTTCACCACACAGTTCGTCATTCCATTGGCCTCACCCTCCACTCCTTCACTCTACTGGCCTCACCATCCACTCCTTCACTCTACTGGCCTCACCCTCCACTCCTTCACTCTACTGGCCTCACCCTCCACTCCTTCACTCTACTGGCCTCTTACTGGCCTCACCTTCCACTCTCCCACTCTACTGGCCTCAATTTCCACTCTCCCACTCTACTGGCCTCGTTTTTTGCTGCTCCACTCTATAGGCCTTGCCTTCAACAAACCCACTCTATTTGCCCCCACCTTCCATTTCCTCCTTGCGCTTGGCCTCAGCCTCAGCCCTGCGTGCACGGATGATTGCCAGTCTTTCCAGGTCAGCACGAGCTTGGTCGGTCTTGCACTCCTCCTGCAGCTTGACGTACTGCTGCTTCTTTATCTCCTCCCTGCAATCATATTTATTGCGCATTAATAATGGTGACCAATAAATATTTCTTTCAATGGTTGTCTTGAAATGATGGACCAACAGTAATCATATAAAAAAAAAGAATTAGAACATTTTATTGAAAAATTTAATACTTAAAATACATCAAGTTGAGTGGAGGAAATCTGGACTAGTTAAATCCAAAATTTAAGTGGATTGATTGAATTTATGTAAGACCATTCAGCATGATAACTAGCAAATGAATAGCGTGATTAAGAGATTAGGAGACTAAGTGAAAATGGAGAACAAATAATTTGTATTAAGAAACGTCAGTAACTGGAACGAGCATGACATGGACAAGAGTGATTCTATAGGGCATAATATAATACTCCTATACAGTGAGAATACAAATGATGCAAAATAATGTACAAAATTTAGTGCTTCTTCCCAGAGGCAGCTGGCAAGTACTAGTTTGTCCAATAATAAAGCTTATATCCAACTATCAAAATGTTCTCATAATATTAATGGATTTGCATGCAATGTCATATATGCTAGTCAATATAAACCGAAATTAGACTATAAACTGCACCACTTTGGACAAGATGCTATGGGATGCATGTATAACCTTTGTGAATGTTCACCTTTCCCGCCTGGAGAGCTCGACCTTGACTCCACCTTCAGGCAAGTCAGTCACTTTTCGGTTCTCCTTCACACCAGTTCTGTTAGGGTTGCGCTGCTCAATTAGTCCAGATACACCCTTTGGTTTAGGGGCCTTGGCTTCTCCTTCTTCTTCAGACGACTCTTCTGATTCACTACCACTCTCCCCAGAACCAGATTCTTCATCAGAGTCTGCTTCACCTCTTTGGGCCTGGCAATGAGTTAATATGACTGGTCATGTAAATTAACACGTTGACTACATATTGGTACATATGCGTACCACGAAATGTATTTCTCCAGGACTAAGTGGTGCATAATTCAGGTTGCCTAAAATCGGCCAAATCCGAGAACTAAAAAGGCCAAAAAGGCCGATAACCCAATATATACTAGTTTATTTGTAGGTTCCGCTATAAAAATTCCATTTATTTTCTTTTTCCAGTACTTAAAATTTAATTAGGAAGTACCCTTATCATAAATTTTAGCCGGCCAACGCAATTGAGAAAAACTAAATCACGGAATTTGTCCAGAAAAAATAACCGTCTGGCTACCCTGTTTAAAAACAGTACAAAAAATGAAATAATAGTACAAGATGAAGCAATCGTAGTCAACGTGTTAAAGTGCGCTAGTACAGTTCCTGGCCTATCATAAATTTTTGCCGGCCTACGCAATTGAGAAAAACTAAATCACGGAATTTGTCCGGAAAAAAAGACCGTCTGGCTACCCTGTTTAAAAATCACTACCACTCTCCCCAGAACCAGATTCTTCATCAGAGTCTGCTTCACCTCTTTGGGCCTGGCAATGAGTTAATATGACTGGTCATGTAAATTAAAGTTAGCTAGTACAGTTCCTGGCCTAATTCATATGAAAGCCCAATTAAAAAAAATAATTTTTTTCAGAAGGAATGAATATTGAAAGGGGCAATAAACTTGATCCAACATTCAGCAATTTTCCATATAGTTTACATAACATCATTATTCTGTCATTTTTAAAACAAAGCTACCATATTATGGCTTCATAAAAGGCTGCAATAATAAATATATATTATATATATTTACATACATACATATATAACATATGTATTTTTTTTAGAACCTGAACTAATTTTCCAAAGCTAAGCAGGTTATTGAATGTTTGAGCATATCGCACAGATAGCAAACTTGATGCTAGACTGTCGGCAAGGCTCAGTTGTTATAGGCTATTGCAAGGCTTGCCCTTCAGTTCTTCTTAGAATGACAAGCAAATGAAGCCAGAATTTGAAATTTTGCATCAAAACTTTGTATAATAGCAAAATTCTGGAACTTACTCTCCATCTAGCTTCCTTCTCTTCTCTTTCTTTCTTCTCACTTTCTGCCTCAAAGTTGGTGAACTGACGTCGACCACCTTTACGACCTCCACCACCACCTCCTCGACCTGAGAAGTCAGACAGGAGACTAGACCATGGACATCATTCAGAATGAAGACCACTAAAGCATACATTTTGAATCAATTACATGGGTTCAAAGGAGTTTGACATAAATCACAAAGTCAGACAAAAATAGCCTTGAATATAACTTACAAGTTGACTATGGATGACAAATTAAAAAATTAAACAGAAATAATCATTTATTGAGCAGCCATAATTGGTGGAATAAATTCTTTCCTTGACAATATCATTAGCACAAGTAGAGAAAAGTAGAGCTTTCAGAAATCAGACCAAAATATGGCAAATGCTTTGATATCTGTAACTGCTGACAATTATTATTCTCATTCTATTCATCCACTACTGATCAGCCAAGTAAACCAGCACATTTGGCTATTGCTTGGCTGTTTCAATGAGAAAAGCTAAAGTTGTACTCTACACGACTACAACAATTCTTCATGATTCAACAGTAAAAAATCCAATCAGCATAAACAAAATTACTTTTTTCTTATGTCAGCAGTACCTCTACTTTTGAACTAACTAGAATCACACTCAGTGCAGAAGATAGATTTCAAACCAATTCACGCACATGGCCTTTTAGTCAGTTAGGTTGATGAAAATGCATTAAAATGATCTATGGGACAATTTTATAGAAAACAAATAAAGCAGCAGTTATTTTTGCCTGCAATTTCCAGAAAATAGGACACATTGGAATTGAAGTCTTGAATCTGAATCTTTCTTTAACAACTGAATTTGGCTGATATTCATGAATTTAGCACAAAACTCAGCTAGATTAATTTGCGATACATGAACTGCCATGCTGAGCAAAGAAAGATTCAAAGACTTGTGCTTTATTTGTAGTNGGGGTCACCAAACTTTTTTCACAGTGGGCCGGATAACTGAAAGAATGATGAGCGCGGGCCGCAAAATTATTCTGTTCAATACTTGCAAGCCAAAATGAAAGCTCTGGAAAAAAAAACGAAAAACTAAGTTTAGCATTCCATGTTAATAAAAAAAACAATGACAACCAACATTTTATTTACTAAAAGGTTTTCAAAGAAGGCCACGTAAGCAAAAAGATAGTTAGATCAGACCTAGTGTGCACATATCCGAATCTCACAAACTAAACAGCAAAAAAGGTTAGTGAGATTTGTGAAACTGACGTTTTTCTTTCAAGATATCAATGTTTGCTTTGGAATTGCTGCATCCAATCAAGAGAATTGCTTTCAAATGTTCATTACTCAATCTTGTTTGACGTCTTGACTTCACATAGCCTACTTCATTTTTGAAAATGTTTGCTCACAGACATAAGTTATTCCAAAAACTGATGCCATTCCAGCGGCAATTTTTTTCAATTTAGAAAACTCAAGATGAGGTAAGCAGTGGTAAAATTTGACAAATCTTTCTTATCTGTGCTTCTACAAGAAATTTGATTGCAAATCAATGAGCTCCAACTGTAGTTCAACTGGCACATCATCAAGGTTACAATCAAACGGATTCTGTAACAGGAGAATGTCACTTTCAGTTCTGTTGAGATCTGAATCTCTCCAAAAATGCTTCTTCAAGTCACGAATAATCTTTTTGGAAAATCGAGGTTGAAATCTTCAGCGATTGAAGCGCAAATCTCTCTGAAACAGTGAAATGAGAGAAATTTTTTCCTTCCAGTTGTGTTTCAAACAATGACAGCTTTCTCCGAAATCCTTTGATGATTCTGTAGAGATCACAAACGAAGTTATCCTCTCCCTGAAGTTTCAAGATCCCAGTTCATTAAATGTGGGATGTGATGAGGAAGGACTTAGGATGGTGCGAAATAAACAAACATTACAATAAACAAGAATTTTTAGATACAATAATTTAAAATTAAAAATAATAAATTTAAGGCACATAGCGGTCAGAAAGTCTCCACACGCACAAAAATTTCCTAGTATTATACACATGCACAAAAATTTCCTAGTATTATAAACAGAAAATTTAAATTGTATCCCAACATCTTGTGTTCCAACCGTTTTATCAAGCAAATTAAAGTACCGTTGACGGGCCTGATGAATTGACGTCGCGGGCCGGATTTGGCCCGTGGGCCGTAGTTTGGTGACCCCTGGCATATATGGTGCACATCACAGTTTGGGACATGCATGCATGTACAATACCTGTCTCTTATACACATCTAGATGTGTATAAGAGACAGTGATAGTACAAGATCGTNTCAGTTTATATGATTTCACTGCAGTGGAAGGTGAGGTGGTGTAACGCGGTGGTAGGGTTGATTTTTCGATACGTTTTCATATATTAACTATACAGAATTCCATACTGATCCAAATTATTATATAAATGAAAAGTCAAATTTTAGTTCTTTTTATCAAATTCTCTAATATGATATGTGCATAGCTATTTCCATCAAATAATTTCATTTTTGAAAATAAGGAAAATTGATTAGGCTATAAGATATATATTTTCATAATTATTGAAAAATTAAAATTATCAATAATTATTAAAAACACGCCACAGGTCATCTGGTCATGCCATCATGAAGCACTTATTTTTAGAAAGGTTTTCTAGGACATTATTGGCTTTCCTTAAACTATAGTTTAATTCGTGTTAAATTTTACAAAATTTTATAATTATTGGTCATTATTGTTGAATATCAATGACAATAAATAAACTTGATGCAAAGTAATTTGATTCTCTATTAATTTTTTATTCTGGCTGTAGTGGGTGTAGCCCCAAGAAAACTTTTCACAGATACACTTTGTTAATGTTACATAGGGTAAACGCGGTATATTCCAACATCGTGGGTAATTCCGTCACCTCTCTAGTTTTTCCTTTATATTAAGCTTTGTTCTAGTTCCATGCGTTCGTTGATGGTTGAAATGGTGACGTCTAGAACTCAAGTAACGCATACGGTTATTTTTTATAGTTTTTCATTTCTTGATGCGTCCTTAATGTGTCAGAAATCAGAATAATGAGAATATACTGCGTTTACCCTACTTATATTTATAATGAGCCTGAGGGAATTCATGTCACCTTAGTTTTCACATTTTACTTGAAAGCTTTCATTTCAGGTGATAAATTTCACTTGTAACATTAACAAAGCATAGAAATATGCCATGGGGGTTCAACATTTAAACTAGCTAATTAGTAGTACTATAAATTATAGTAAACACATGTCTAGTTCTTTATATTAGCAATCAATGTCAATTGTCAATAGACTTTTGTAAACGGCAACCAAACAATATCGTGGATTATGGATATGACGCATGACGGTCAATGGTCAAGAGTCAATTTCAGTCAAAGGCCAAAAGCGAAAGGACGTTTAGCCGCTCAACTTCTCAACTTGAAGTAAAAGTCAACAACTCACTCAGTATCACTGAACTCAGTCTGAACAGTGTTGATCTTAATTAGTAGGTATGTTCATTGATTTATTTGATTTAAAGCACATGCACATTTCTTTAGAGAATTAGGCAGTTTTTAATTTCTAAGTGAATGATATTTCGCCATAAAAAACCTTAGAAGTGAATACCTACTAGGCTACTAGCCTAATATAAGCATTCCTATCATGAAGTTTAGTTTAACCATATGGTTAGAGTTAGAACCTTGACTTTTTTATAAATACTAATCAATGGCATGCCCATGCCACGACCACCATAAATATATAATTGACATTATCATATGATTTTGTGAGTGATATCGACGAACATACCTCTGGGCATTTTGACACGGTAAATAGCACCGCGCCTCAATCAATGGCGTGACAAATAATTTTCGCAGCAAGGACAAAGAATCGTTGCCGCGGTTGCAAGATCTTCCTCGTCAGCGGCAAACGCACAAAATTGGAGACATCAGCGGGAAACGAAATTTCCCTAGAAAGTGCCCAAATACTTGGATGTATTTGTCAATAATTTATAAATACTATATTTTACCTTACAAAGGATGATTTAAAAACTCTTTCAGTCTTGTTTCGGTTCCTAACATTATAGGCTCAAATCTCTAAATATATCAATTAAATTTTGCTCATGAATGTATTATCCGGAATAACTATACTTCATGAGACCAACAAGCTTATATTTAGTTAATCTTGTTCAGTTTATGAAAAAATATCTGCTCAAACATAGCTCAATCAAAACTAAGAAAATGATCGATCGATTAACGGAAGTCGTTTGATAGTAGAGAATTCTTAATCTATCTACAGTATGGTCGAGTAAGGAAGAAACGTTCAATTGAATCATGTGCAGTTATTGCACTCCCCATATTATACAGGAATTTGAAAATAGTGGAAAGAAAACTGATCAATTCGACAACAAAATTTAGCTACTTAGGCGGCCAAGTGGCCAAACAGCAAGGTCACAGCTCATTTGAAACCTTGTTAGCATGAAAATTTAGCAATGAATAGTCGAAGACAAGCCATTCATAAAATAATATTCACTGCTGATACCCCCACAATATTGTAAAGCGTCAATAAACTTAATTTGTACTCGATCTCTCCCTACAAAGGAGTGTGTCAAAAATTATTATCGCTTCATATTTTGGCAGTGTTGGAGCGCCTGATTTGTAGCCAAGCCGTAGAAATGAATCAGAAAATATGATTTTGTGATAACGATTCAAGCAGATCTCCTAAAGAAGTCAAAATGTGACAATTTATATTGCTAAATATTTGTAGAAACAAATGCACTAAAGAATAAAGATCCGGTCAAATGACAATATTTTAGATCTTCTGCGAACAAGTCACAAGAAAAGTTTAAGAATCGGCGACAGGCCACATCAGGCCTCTCTTTAGCGCCGGCATCACTATTTAATGTTATTCGTTAGCAGACGCGACAGTTCAATGTCTCAACATTTGGTGCTGAAAAAATTGGAATAAGAATAAATAGAATTTAAAACAGCCCGGGGATGGGGTGCATAGTAATAGAATGTGTTTTTCAAGACTTACAACATAGATATGGAGTCACAGCATCATTTATCCACATTGGTTGTGGGTCTTTGGGACAATGAAAGAAACAACTAGATATAATCTAGTTTCTTGATCAACGACGTATGTTAACACAGTGATATAGCAAATACTAGTTCTAAATGACCTTAAATTCGCACACAATCGGTGCTTGAACATCTTCCAAGGTGATGAAGCACGTCTTGAAGAAACGGAAGCGCATAAATACATTCTAATACACTTAACAAGGATGAGTGAACAAATTCAAAATGAACTAACAAAATATACCCTAACGTTCAAAATACGAAACTAGTAAAATCAACCGTGCATTCAACCGTTATTTTTCCCATGGCGAATAATATGTTCACAGCTTCATGAAATAGCAATTTTAGATATACACTGGGATGAATTTACATAAACAATTCAATGAAATAAGATTCCGGCACATGAACCGTTGACAAATGATCAAATAAACGCCCTTGGATTGATGTATTTTCGGTACCACAGGAAAGACGTGATGAAACTCAGACTGTACCTGGAAAAAGAAACGTATTATGAAATCACTGATCGTCACTCACGACTGAATATCAATAATCCCACAAACACCCACTGCTTAGTTGTAATACAAGAAAAAGTGACAAAAAGAGTTTGTTTTAGCAGATTAAGAAAGTTTGTGGTTTTATACAACGAAACGTAGATAAGTATTAAGAATGTAAATTCGTGAAGAATAAGAATTTTTGTGAACTGAGGTTACAAGTTTTATGCAAGGAATATGATCAGAAATAGAAAGATTCAGGTTGAAACAATGATATAAAATTAGTAAAAAAAATTTCACTCCATGAATGAGACATGAGGGAGGAAGGACCGGAACGACCACGTCAGCAGGTATGACAAGTGTTCAGCTCACCACGTCAGCAGGTATGACAAGTGTTCAGCTCACCACGTCAGCAGGTATGACAAGTGTTCAGCTCACCACGTCAGCAGGTATGACAAGTGTTCAGCTCACCACGTCAGCAGGTATGACAAGTGTTCAGCTCACCACGTCAGCAGGTATGACAAGTGTTCAGCTCACCACGTCAGCAGGTATGACAAGTGTTCGTTCCTGATTGAGACGCGCGTCTGGCCGGCCATCGGCCCCCCAGGGACACCCGTGCAGGCGTCCAGGAAGACGGGTAAGCTGCCCGTCATGGCACTCATGGTCTCCACATCTCTGTACGGTTAAATTCACAATTTAAATAATTGTCATCAAGCATCATCATGCTCCACAACATAGTGCCTCCTCCTATACATCTAATCGATTTAATATTTAACATCCATATTCACATCTTCCATCGGAGTAAAAGATTATTTTCACAAGCAATACATGACCCATGAATAAATTCTAGTGTCCGTAACATGTGCTCAGAGCACACGAAAGAGGTCAGGTCTGGTTTGGTATATTAGTCCCACCTGTAGAGAAACATTTGGTTCTGTGCAGAACTTTTGGCCATGAAAGGTGATCTGTTTTCTTGCAGCCTGACCACGCCTGTGATCTCTTGTTCTCCTTCAACCTAAACAGAAAGAACAAGTCATACATAATATCCAATGTCATTGCATAGGATCAAGTTTCACGAGAGTATAATATCAAAATCATTCAAATTTGTTCAAGTAGCAAGTGATATGAGGTAAAAAATTGCGTAAAAAAGATAATAGATAGCGGAAAATTCTTCAAAGTAAAAGTTTGATGATGCGTTACCTAAGACCATGTCACCAGAATTAGTACAGTAGAACGATTTACATTGGTCATAATTTGTTTTATGAAGGAAAAGGAGCGCACTTTGAATAATAACTTTTACTGTTGGAATCTGGCCTTTCAAAGGCTTCGAATAAAAAGTGAACAATTACACTTAATTCAAAATATGTATATTGAGTAAATGAAAAACTTAACATAACATGAGATTAGTATCAAAAGTAAACAGGAAAATGTTCATCAACAAAACATTTCAAACAACAATCAAATCTATTACAACAAACGTCTATTTTACAATCAGATAATCATTTCTGCCAAACCCAATAGAAGTGTTGGTGAGCGTCCTTGGCACAATAGGAAAGCTAAATGGCTCAGGTGGTAACTAAGCAAACAAACTCAAGGTTATTTAGTTACTTAAAATGAACACGATGAAAATATCGTCAAGCAACGATTGGACAAAAGGACGTTTTGCAAGCACTCCTGAATACCTGCAGAAAATTACAGCCACGCTAAACTTTCATGAGGAGCACAACATTCATAATTAAATTCTGCGTTCAATGTGAACATTATCTATGAAGACATGATTAGTCAACCAATACAATTAGCCAATTACAAGTTCAGCATTTTCAAAACCGTAGAAAACAATTGTGAATTTTCAAATATCAGAACTTGCCTGTCCCTGCAGACGAGTCTTGGCATTCTTGAACTTCTTGGGCACCCAGCCCCTGTTCACCAAGATCGTCTCCCTGGCGTGATAAGAAGGTGATCAATACGTGATACAGTATTAACTAATATAAAGGAGATTAATACGTGATACAGTATTAACTAATACAATGGAGATTAATACATGATACAGTATTAACTAATACAATGGAGATTAATACGTGATACAGTATTAACATATACAAAGGAGTAAGCCTTAGTTCAAACATCACTTGATTATCAACCATGAGGATAATTTCACCACACCTAAATTAAAAACCCCATTCAACATTGTGGTTTTCATGATTTAAAAAAAAAAACATTTTTGTTTGGAAACTAATAAAACACAAGTCTAAATATTAATAAGAGAATATTCTCATACAAATAAATCTGGAAGAAACTATAAAAGTCCACTGGGAAATATGTATGAATAGCAATTAATGAAGAAAATGCACAAATTTCAATCACCAGTATAATGGATACTAGTATGTCACAAGTTAAATTTGGGCATATTCCAAGTCAACTGAGTCAATATGGACATTGATGTCCATATATAGGTATATGGCTGATAATTGTCACTAAACAGAGACCTAAACTGCATAATTTACATAACTTAAATATTACCTATGCGGCTTATTTTGCTGAGTCATTGGTTTAGGGGTACAGTAGTAGACAAAAATATGAGGCTATCACTGATAACCATGTGAGATATCAGCAGCAATGACCACAAGGAATCATCCTCACGAGACTGAAATAAGGAGACAATAAAGAGGCCAATATATTTTATTGCAGGTTTGAGGATCTGTTTTATTTAGGTTTGAGTTTCTGTGAATGTATTTGTCAGAGGCCTCTGCCAGAATCATGTGTACTGCGTCTGCCTCTCCAAAGCACAGATAGCATTAAAAACATTAAAAATACTAAACTTACCCTTCAAATTTTGAATCTATGGTTGAATAATATTTTCTGATTCGAAATTTCTTTGATAAAACATTTTAGTTCATGAATAATTATGGTAGCAGGAGCAATGATTGTTCCTCATGACTATTGAATAGGACTTAGTGTTGTCAGCTGGCATGATTAGAAATACTCATGGCTTTTGAAGGTTTCATTCTCTTGTCTATACTATCTTGTCTATACAATACTATCTATGTCATACTATATATATGTCAAGCCGATAGGGTAATATCTATGTCATATCATCTATGTCGATACTATCTGTCGCTGCAAGCTACGACAGACAGAAAAATTAATGGGACAGAATGTTCAAATAGTGACAACCTGTTGCACACGACAATAGTTATGCATTTGCATTTTCCAAGCTGAACACCTAAATTAGTTAACATGTATAAATAAAGCACAAGTAATTCAGCTCAAGGCAGAAGGTCTCACCCAGTCTCTGAGAGCTTCAATGGCGTGATGATGCAAAATCCAGACGATCCTGATGAGACGAGGCTGCCGGTTTCCTTGTATCGGCCGTCATACTGGGGAATGAAGGATTTCTTAGGTACAAAATAATACTATCCACACATGAATGTGAGAAATCCATAAAAATTGTATATAAATTACTACCTGGTAGTCTTTGCATTTGAACCTTCTATTAGAAATGTCCAAGTTGAAATGAATATTGGTAAAAATTAATAAAACTTAGATGAGAATAAGTAACTCGAAGTCACAGATTCAATGTGACTTTTCATCATGCAAGCTCATCTCAAACCAGAGAAGAAAAGCCATCAGTGTGCACCACTGACCAAACACGACATTATGTGTGTCAGGCATGACACGAGTATATATAAATATTGTAAAGTAATTTGTCATATGTGAAGTGTATAGTACATGAAAGGTAATTCATATTGAGTGAAGGGAGTATATAGAACATGCAAGGTAGTTCATTTAGTACTAGTAACTAAACCAACAAAGGCTCATGGATTCTCACCAGAGCTGGTCGAGGCCCATAAAGCATTTCTTTGGAATGGTCAAAAGTGCCCTTCACCAGCACCTTCCTGTACTCCAAGTCTTGCAGCATTGATAAACTGGAATCAAACAATCAGTAGAATCAACGGAGTTCCAGTAATTGAGAAAAGCATAGGGACATTCCCAAATAACAGCACAAAATCATTGCAAAAAAGAAAAAAAGAAAAATGGATAGCAATATTTCATAATATTAATTTCAGTCATTAAGAAGAAAATTCTTGAAAACTGAGCTGTCAAGAATCATATAAATGCACACAAGAGCAACGTCAAACAGGCATCATCACATGGGATGATCAGGAGAGAGATCAGAGCTACAAAGCAGCTGCATTTCTGCTTAATGCTTTGAATGATGGAAAAAATTTGCCAGAAATTTTCACTCTCTTTAGCAATGAGAGCCCTTGATATGATGCTCTTGGTTTCTAAACTTATTTTGCTCTTTACCTATTTATCTTTACTATATTCCATACATAATTTTAAAGTTAAAAACTGGATAGTTACAAATCTGCAATAAGTAAGCCATGTTTATTAGACCAGTAAAAATTAAGTTGTTGGTAACTGACTGTGTGACTCCCCAAATAACATAGATTTTATTCGAGTAATTAATTTTTACAACACTTCTCTTTAACTTCACTTCTTGTTGTTTGTTTGTCTGCTACAAATCTTATATTCAATATTTAACACACTTCTACTTGTCCAATCAATCTGAAATTTTGCACACTTGCGTAAAGTTGGAGACAATGCATGAATCAATTGACAGAATAAATAATTTTGAAAATTAAAAAAATTTTATTTATGAAATTAAACAAATTGAAAAAAAAATGTATGTGCTACATACATCTTACAATCAATATTTAACACACTTCTACCTGTCCAATCGATCTGAAATTTTGCACACTTTTGTAAAGTCAGAGACAATGTATGTATCAATTGACAGAATAAATAATTTTGAAAATTTAAATTTTTTAAATTGTACAAATAAAATTTGAAATTAATTTTTTATATTTAATAATAAAATTAGAAATTCATTATACATGTGTAACATCAGAGACAGTGAATTCTTTAGAAGTGTTGCCTTCAAAAAGAGTAATTTTTAAACAAATATTATTTTATTATGAAAGCAGATAGTTAACTATTATATGATTCATGATGAAATGCTCAATTACCTACTCATTTGGTAGTTCAATGGGTGGCAGTGCCATCTTGTCTTGCAGTTCATTGATGAGCCTCAGCTTCCACTGCCTCCTGTACACTTGCCAGCAGCCCAGGCAAAAAGCTGACCCAGGAATTATCTGGAGGAGTAATGATGAATATTATTGGCCAAGGTACCCATTCAAAAATTAAGATTTAATGGCAAGAAAAATGGAACTTTAAAGAAAATATTTTATAGGCAAATAAACATGAACTAAATAAATGTTATTCAAATAATTCAATACAAACGGCTTATGAGAAGAGAAAAGTCAGACAAATTCGTCCAAACTGAAACATTTATTATTTTCACCAGAAGAGCATAGGCCATGGCATTAGGTTTCCTCCTGTGTGACACCGAAGACACAGCTTGTATGCAGCCAGCAGCTGATGTGGAGAACTTGTTCTTGAGTGGCATTCTTGCAGTACCACGAAGGTCTGAAATGCCGAACTGACAAGCAGTTTTTCTAAGCAACTTTGAAATATTTCTCAACATGTTTTTACTTTTTGTTCAACCTGAGAAGTAAAAGATCAACTATGAATCACATTCAGTCCCTAGTTTCAATTGAAACTCCGCCTTCAATTGGATAACTATATGACTGAATTGTCACTTGTTCAGTTGCTGCTTAAGTGAAGACAAATGATAGTGACTGTTTTTAGGGTAAAATTAGTGATGTGGGGTAACATGTGCATGGGACTTTGTAAATAATAAGTTTGAGGCTTGTAAATGGGTTTTCATGGCTGAAATATGGAATTCATGGCTTAAAGAAATGGAATCACGGATGGCAAACCCATAAAACCATGGCTTGAAAAATCCAGTTGCAGCTTGCCAGGTAGATATATTCCATGCCTGAAAGCAGAGAGTTTTTTTACACTCTCCCTCAAGTTTATTTTTGAGCCCTATACAGGGTGCATACTGGTATTTAGAAAAAAAAATTACCTGACTTTTCCATGACCATCAATATAATTTTCCAAGACTCGTATATGACAGGTTTAGCATGACTGAAAAACTAACCATGCATATGCTATCATCTCCTACAGTTGATAAATGGCAAACGTGCAAATGCATAGAGCAGGCAGACACAGCGGAACAGAAATGACACATATCTGAAAATCAAGCCCACACTGGTATTATTATGAGTTCAATAATGTGAAATCATAACAAATATTGAGTAATGCACACAAGATTGTACATGATAATGTCAATACAGTTCAGAATGCTCTTTAACACCACCCTAGTATTTATTTGGCAGCTATTTCATCAACTTTTTCTTTAATGTTCAGTTCAAGAGTGTCTAGCTTTGTTTTCAAAGATCCCCTCATGGCATTGAACTTTGAGATAACTTTCAAATCGCCCTTTCTCTCCATTGCTTCTGCATATTCATCTGCTGCTTGCTCAAGTGCCTTGATGCCCTCCTCCGTACACCTCTTCTTCTTCTTCAGTTCATCTAACTCATCCAACAAAGCCTTCCTCGATCTTCTGGGTTTTGTGGGCGGTTGCATTCTGCTCTTTCTCTTCTGCCAAATAAGTAATGCAGGCTGTTTTGGCACTGCCAGCTGCATCTTCTTGGTGATGGTCATCTTCTCCAGGCCTTATGACCTTACCTTATGATGAGTTCGGGACTTCCTAGTCCCCGGTCACGCTGATGCGCTGCCTTTGTTGTCCTCCGTCTCTGAGTCGTTGTTGGGTGTAACGTTGGACGTGTTCTGTCTATTTGCCCTCCTTTGGGCCAGCTGATGCAAGATGCTGTTGCTTGTCACTTGCTGAGGGTAGGTAGTTTCCCATTACTGGACAATCCAGGACCTTTTTTCAGCCACTTGTCCAGTCGTCTCTTGAATGTTGTTAAGGGTAAACTCCCCTCCTCTCAGCGCTTTTGGCAAGGCATTAAAGAGCCTCATCCTACCACGGACAGTGATCCCTCACCAAGAGTCTGTACTCTGGCCGTGGCTCGGTTATTAAATGGGGGAATCCTGCACAGTCTCCCCCTTCTTTAGTTGTAATTCCGTAAAATGGGGTTACTTTGACCGGCAGGGTAACTTTGACCACTTTTTGTTTTTTTAACAAAACCCCCAAAATCAAAAACGATTTGACATGGAAAAATTTTGTCAATGGCCATCAAAGGCCTAATACTAAGGCTATGTAACACAATAGAAAGATTTAAAAAGTTTGCATATATAATAGGTTAAAAAATTAATAATGTGACCCACGAAAAAGAGCTATTATTTAAAGCCTGTCGGAGTACCCCCTCCAATCTTTTTATTTTTTGGTAAAATAACTCCAGGTTTTGATGCATTGTAGTAGAACTCTTCTAGTTACATATGTAAAAGACAAATTTTAGGAAAGTGTCATAGTTTGCAAATGGAGGAACTTTGACCACCTAATGGCAGCTGTGACGGGGTAACATTGACCGGCTTGGAAATTAAGTTAAAATTACCATAGGTACCTATATAACATATTTTATGTTTGATACACCTATTAATGTTTTTTTCTTTATGTTTCAGACTCTACAGTCTTATATATGGTAATTTTAACTTAATTTCCAAACCGGTCAATGTTACCCCGTCACGGCTGCCATCAGGTGGTCACATTTCGCCCATTGGGGGGCAGCACACCCATTTGCAAACTATGACACTTTCCTAGAATTTGTCTTTTGCATATGTAAGTAGAAGAGTTCTACTACAATGCACCACAACCTGGAGTTATTTTACTAAAAAATAAAATTGATTTTACCACCTGGTCAAAGTAACCCCAAGAGCTGGGGTAACAAAGACCATCACTTTTTTTTTAAATTACATCAAAACTATGAGAGGCAGGAGCCAGCAATTTATGGTGAGTAAAGCTAGAGTATATGCAGCACTGCCTCCAGTTTCCACCAACATGTGCAACATGATCAACCAGGGCAACCACTGTTCACTCTTTCATGTTGTGTGTCATGATTTCCATGTTGAACAAAAACCCTCTTTCAACCGTGGCTTAGCCATGAACAGGAGCATGAGCATCTGCACTACATTCCAGAGCTTCTTGTAGGTGCTCTTCGACAGAATGGCATACCAAAAAAGTGTCCAGTTGATCAGAAGTTGAAAATGCTTGAAACTGTGCATTCAGTTCACTGCAATAATGTGCGTCATCTCTAAAGTTGCACATCTCATCACACACCATCCACATCTGTGTTAGGGAATCTCTTGGCACCAATGCACCAACAAGCTAAGTGAGACAGTTCTTCAACTGTGTCTTGTCAGCTTCCTTACAGTCCTTCTTGATGAAGACTTGGCACCAGCCATCTCAGGTTCCTACCAAGGCCATAGATAGGGCTCTTGTCCAATAGCTTTTGGACTAAAGCCTGCATGAAGTCCACTGTCCAGCACTCATGTCTTGAAAGTGAGAACTTGCAGTGCACATGCCTTCTTGTCTGCAAGCTGTTTTTTTATTATTGTGGTCATGGCCATGTAGCCAACATCAACGTTACGTATTGAGGGAAATTAAAATGCCTTTTGTTCCAGGACTTTCCATGACCTGAAATGAAATCCAATGACTTTCCAGGCATGGAAAATGAAAAATTGAATTCCATGACTTTCCAGGTTTTCCATGACTGGAATCAGTGGTATGCACCAAGCTATAAGTAGACCAGTAAAGTATCATGGATATCAGCATTATCATACATAAGAAATTGGTTTAAATCTTGAGAAAATTTGGAAATTAAAAATGAATCAATTCTAAAAATGTCTGGTTTGTCACTATGATATGAGGATAGGTGACGGCCAGGGGGGATGTGAGCAGCTCAGCACCGGACTCATGGTCAACGGCCAAGGTGCATGCCCACGTCACTAAACCCCCCCTGTTCATTGGGCCAGGCATGGAATATATCTACTTGGCAAGCCACGACTGAATTTTTGAGTTGTGGTTTTTATGGATTTGCCAGCCGTGATTCCATTACTTCAAGCCGTGAGTTAATTTCTTCGAGCAGTGAATTCCATACTTTGGCCATTAAAAGCCAATTACAAGCCGGCAGCTGCAAACTTTTTACAAAATCCCATGCATGTGACCCCTAGCCCTAATGGCCTAATCTCTAATCTTATCCTAAAAACAGTCAACACTAACATTTGTCCAGGGTGCAGAGGGTGCAAGCAGTGTTGCCAATATATGGATTTATTGCCCAAAGCGATGAAAGCGTTGCCAGCCATTTTCAAGATTTGTCACTGGGTAACTTTAATAAGAAAATGCTGCTAACAACTTTGATAGTACCGTCAACCGGGGCTACTCGGGACGGGCAGGGTAACTCAGGACAGTCCTCCGACACGGCATTAAACTGTTTTAGTAGCAAAACTAATTGGAATATTGCAAAACTAAATATAGAGGCATAAATGTCACATTTTTCCTATCTATGTAGTATAACAGAAGTTCAAAAATACTACATTTACTAGTTTTGAAAAATTCCTGAAAAAAATGGGTACTTGCCCTATTAAAAAATTTTGCTTAGAAAAAAGTGGCAGACAAGTGTGAGTGAAGTGTCAACATGAAAACTTCATTTGCAGAATTTACATACCTCAATAAAAAAAATGGCGACCATTTCCGCAAGGCGGGGCTACTCCCTACTCGGGACACCCCTGGCCTCAAAAAGGCGTTCACAGCGTCAGCATAACCTTGGTTAGCATTAGCAAAGGCTCCAGTAAATAAGAATTCTCATTTCATAGCCAGAATTGTGCAGCGGGCAACATAGAATGAAAAATACATTACCTAAACTATGATCTATTTCTCCAAAAATATGATGCTTGTCTCTAAATGATCCCTATATTTTTCAGTTTTTTATGATTTTTTTCTCTTATAGTAAATTCACTTGAGCCTGTTAAAATGGTGAGACAATATAAGCCCACAGGGAAACTCGTACGAAGGAAATCGTATACAAGTGCTGTCTGCTGCTGATAGGCTACGAAAGGCGTTCACAGCGTCAGCATAACCTTGGTTAGCATTAGCAAAGGCTCCAGTAAATAAGAATTCTCATTTCATAGCTAGAATTGTGCAGCGGGCAACATAGAATGAAAAATACATTACCTAAACTATGATCTATTTCTCAAAAAATATGATGCTTGTCTCTAAATGATCCCTATATATTTTTCAGTTTTTTATGATTTTTTTCTCTTATAGTAAATTCACTTGAGCCTGTTAAAATGGTGAGACAATATAAGCCCACAGGGAAACTCGTACGAAGGAAATCGTATACAAGTGCTGTCTGCTGCTGATAGGCTACGAATGATTGTAAGGGACTTCTTGAATAAGAGTTGCAGGACCAGGAAGGTCACCATCTTCAAAAACAATCTGCCTGGCATCGACTGGGTTAATAATTTTATTGCCCGATACAAGCACTTGCTCTCTACGAGAATGTGTTAGAATATCAACAAAAAAAGGGCAGAGATCTGAAGTTATCAGCAAGTTTTTTTGACAACATTGCGCCATGTGACCACGGGCAATAAGTCCAGCAGCTATCTCAATCAATCGTCAGCTATGGAAAGATCGGGTTCCAAAGGCCGGATCCCTTGTGAATTAAGTCACGAAAAGTTCAAGAATCGGCAACAGG